CCTAATCCCCAAAAGGCCGGTAACGCACTTGTAACGCCTCTGGTGTTCCTGGTGTCCATGGGTGACGCCGATTGCTTACCATCAAGTGATCCGTCTGCTCGTTTACCGGCTTATGCCATAAAAAATGCGGTTATCGTCTAGATGGAAATTAGAAGAGAAAGTTGTGTATTAAGACAAATTTAATTATTGAGAATTAAGACAGGATAATTATAATTTTGATAAACTTACTCCAGCCACTTCAATCAGTCGCTTCAGCAGGTCGCGGTAACTTGTACTCTGAAAACCAAAAAAATCTATTCTTTCACACACCTATTTTATTTGATGGTACTATGCGCCTGCCAGAGTGCGTTCGGCGCTCAGATTGGTTGGTTCATTGGCACCGGCCAATCAGAGTGCCTCAGGCCTAAGGCCTCAGACTATGCTTCTTGCGCTGATCATCGGCAATGCTCCTCGCGCTACCGTGATTTGCCGTGTGTTGCCCTCTCTGTCCACACACTGCTATACTCTCGCAATTAATCGCGACCCTCCTATTGCCAGTCCTCGTTGCCTCCTCGTATGCCGATCCCTTTGACTCGCTCGCAGAAACCGACAGAGAGGAGTGGGCAGGAGAAGGAGCATGACGTGTGGCATGACGAGTAATGTTGGCGCACTATTTCTGCCTCCTTTCCTTGTTACTTCCCATACCACTCGTCGAGTGTGTCGCAGGCGCATTATATAGAACCTCATTATAAGTATCTTGGACCAATCTATTATGTACTATATACCAAGGACGTTGCATTCGAGGTGGACGTAATGTCACTTAGATGATGAGGACCAAAATGTCAGTACGGTTTATTTATGTGGACGTGTGCCAGAATATTACCCAAATTAATGAATTAATTTTTTGAGGTTTTTTGACTTTTATTTTTTATGTAGGTACTGCTCTTTATCATGGTTATAGGTATATAAGGATATTTAATTCAACTTATGGCACTAGATTCAAACATAAGGAAGGTCGTTTTGCATTGTCATATGATTTGCGCAAATATAGTAACTACAGCTACACGGTACAACGGTTCGATAGCATAAGCCAATCAGGCTATTATACTTTCGCTGTTTGAGGTTTTCGGCAGCAGCAGCGGCAGCACCGGCTCGATACGCTGAGCTTGGAAGATGGGATGGCGCAAGAGTATCAACGCAAGTGGCGTCCCATACTTTAAAGACCTACCCACCTTCCAAGTGAATAAAGACATACCTTCAGGTCACCTGCCATCGCCGCGTACCAAGTTAGATACTAGATATTAGACAATAAAGACATTAGACTCTAAAGTAGCTGGCACGCCGACGGAGACAAGAGCCCGACGAATAATAATATAATTAATGCGTGCGTGTTCAGCAAAACTGCCTGCACTGCGGCTACATGACAAGCCGTGGTGTCCAAGGCTGTTGACATCTTCACCACAACGACAACGATGAGGTGAACAAAATGCGGAATGTGGTGTCGTCCATCAATTTGCCGAAGTTGGACGAAGGCAAAGAATAGTTGGACGGGAGGGTCAATATTAGGGCAAGCGACTTTCCAGGCATTCATAGCTTCCGCTAAACATGGTAAGTCAGAATTAACCAGTGTTGAATTAAAAATTTTCCTGTTTAATTTTTCAGTGCCATAGACGGAAGCTATGGAAGCCGGACGACATACCCCAGAAATTTGGCGGACGCCGAGACTACCCATGCAAACAGGCAGGGTGGCTGGTGTCTAAGCTCGGTCATCGAGGGCCACATTTAAAATTAAATAATTTGGTCTATTTTTTCTGACAGATGCGGTGATGACCAAAGGTAGGTTGGACGGGTTGGCCGGAGACAGTATATAAATTTGGGACCAAAACAACAAAACCGAATAATAGTGTACGCCGAATGCATTGTAATTTGATAAAACCTTTCTGAAACCAATTCCTGAATCCCCAACAATCCTCTAACACCTAATCCCCAAAAGGCTGGTAATGCACTTGTAACGCCTCTGGTGTTCCAGGTGTCCATGGGCGACTCCGATTGCTTACCATCAGGTGATCCGTCTGGTCGTTTATCGGCTCATGCCATAAAAAAAATCGAAGATGGACGCACCTAGTAAGCGAAGAGAATATTTATTGACGACCGAGATGTTGGGTGCAACAATATTACACTTTTATAACGTCTGTCTGTCGTAAGGGTCGTCTAAAAATTATCGCAATTAAAATAATTTAGGTCAAGGCCAATAGAATTAAATTCTTTTTTCAACGACATTCACTCACTTAAAACTGTATCTCCATCACCTGCCAAAGTACCGTCACCAACATACCACACATTAAATTTGGAATTTAGTTGTCGAATGATTGGATTAATGGCATTATTTTAAACGCCTTAATTAACAATAGGGTAGGAGACAGTGTGTGAAAATTTAAAATGTAATTAGTCCGTCAGATATATGATAAAGATATTAGACACATTTTTTTATTAGATAAAAACTGATGTTGAATTTTACTCATAAGTATCCAGAACTGCGTCACACTGTAATTACCGACCAAAATCATCGAAAACTGACTAATAAATATGCAATGTAAACAATCCTTATGTTAGACCAAATCGTTTGTAGGTTTTCCACTTCGGGCAGATAAAATATAAACAGTAACACGATTCCGACCTGTCATGGCCACTGTTCAAGCGAAAACATAATGTACATTTTGATAAAATGTCTCCAGCCTCTTGTTCTATTCAAATACAATCAGGCGAGCTCCACTCCGATATTGTTCTTTGCCATGTACTGCTGCCCTGCAACGTGTCGCGGGTTCGATTTCCGCACGGAACAGCACTTTATCATCATCATAACATCACGCCTTTTATCCCCGAAGGGGTAGGCAAAGGTGCACACATAAGTAACTCCCACTTTTCACTATTTATGTTATGAGTCCCATGTAATAGGGGGTGAGCCTATTGCCATATACTGGGCACAATCCAACCTCCGTGCTACTACTGAGATTTTATCCACTAATACTTTGGCCGGCCCGGGAATTTAACTCGAGCCCCTTGCCCGGCAGTCGGCCAACGAGGCACTTTGTATGATCCACAAATTGTTGTTTCGGGTCTGGGTGTCATTGTGTATGTGATATTGTATGTTTGTGAACGCACCCACGACACAGGAGAAAATCTTAGTGTGGAGCAACGTTTTGAAAAAACAAATGTTTCTTAGTTTTATTTACGTAAATTCAAAAAACAAACAATTGCAAAACGATCACAGCTGATGACATCCAACATAGGAACCTACTTTTTTATAATTTTATTCATGACCATAGATTCAAGTCTTTCAGTCGAATACATGGATAATTGTAATACATTAATAGTAAAGGAAATTGAATACATGGGAACCTACTTTAATACAGTTTTGAATGTTGTTCGTTCCTCAAACATTCATTTTAACATAGATTATATACTTACGCCGTCATCATTTTTTTCGCGCTTGCCGTCCTGTAATCATTAGATGTTAACATTAATTAGGTCATGGTAGACAAATAACAAAGGTTTTATTTCAGTTATAAGACACAGCCAGTCAAATTTTGTAAATAATAAATAAATAATAATAATAATACCATCAAAAGCGGGCCTAGTGATGTGTTATTTTTATTTTTTATTACCACTTCTGTATATTGCATACGATGGCGGACTTAATGCCGGGTGGCATTCTCTAACAGTCAACCATGGGGTGATGCAGAGATGTGCAACAGAAGGTGTAATAGGTACAGTGATTTAATTTATGTGACACAGAATAAATGTATATAAATAAATTCATAATTATGCATAACTGTAAGTACATACATAATTATATCCGTAAATATATATATAGGTATAATATAAACTATATAAGATACATTAAATAGTATAGATGCTCAATATTACTAAATAACAATACTATAATAGTAAATAAACAGATTGGGGATCATGTTATCATTACAAAGAAGTCGAAATAATGAAATAATACACACATAACCTGCCTTCCATCCCTTCGCACTGTGCCTGAACCAGAGCGGGACCGAGAGACAATGACAGCGAGCCCAGCCCTCGCCCTTCTTCACCTTTTTTATGTTATTAACGAAAGACGAAATGGCAGGAAATAACATTTTTTACTCACCGCCAGAGCAGCTAGTACCAGGCAAAGAGAAACGAGGATTATCCACCTCATTGCCGCGATCCCACAATACGCTGCGAGTACTACAACTTTTCACAGCATATAAAAACCAACGAGTACCGTAAAAAATCAATATTAATGATTACATAGTGCCCTATAACCAACCATGAAATCTTTTTGCGATTTTAAAAAGCTAATTTTTGCAATAATTTAAATTACATTTTTAATTAATTAATTTTATTGTTAATACAATCGATTATAGCTTTGTAATGTTCTTTATTACTTTTTCCTTTATTAAGATGTATAGACACGAAAATAATTAAACTTTTAATTTTCTTTGATTAATTACTCTCTAATTGCTAAACAGCTACAGGCCAGTGCAGATAATATTTAGCAAAGTAAAAATAAATAGTACCTTGCCTGGCAATCGTACTGGCGGCCTCTCGACCAAAGAGCCCGTCAAGTTATTTATTTGAACAGTACGGCACAAAACAAATTACAATCTATCTCTATATATATAATTATAAAAATAAAACCCGTTTCCCGTTGTCACGCCATAACTTGAGAACGGCTAGACCTGTTACCTGACTTGTTATAGTCAGGAAAAGGTTCTTACGACAGAAAATCTTCTGAAAATCCTACGGGAACGTGAGAAAACGGGACTGCGCGTACGAAGTCGCGGGCAGAATCTAGCACTCAATATTTATTACTTAGGACCGAATATTAAAAGGCTACTCAATTGTAAGTTCTACTTGAATATCGTTGAGCATGCATAGGTTGATGACTGTTGATGAAACGAATGAGGAATCGTAGCAATTTTCGGGTGCGTGCGCGCTAACTATTTACTCTGTTGGATAGTAATAGGGTGATGACTAATTTTTATTTTAATGTTTTTTATGGCATAAGCCGGTAAACGAGTAGACGGATCACCTGATGATAAGCAATCGGCGTCGCCCATGGACACCTGGAACACCAGAGGCGTTACAAGTGCGTTACCGGCCTTTTGGAGATTTGGAGTTTGAGGATCGTTGGGAATTCGGGGATTGGGGAGATTGGGGACGGGGAGGATAATTAGGCCTCCGGTAACCTCACTGACACGACGAAACACACCGCAAGCGTTGCTTCACGTCGGTTTTCTATGAGGCCGTGGTATCACTCCGATCTCTCTCTCTCTCTCACTTCGTGCCGAAGCATGGCTCTCCCACACTTCTGTCCGTCTGGTAGATCATTTTTAAACATTAGACACGTGTTTTTTATTTTGTTATGAAACAAATAGATACTTTCGGCGATATATTGATTTGAAATATCGCGTGACATGAGGAACTTATCTCAATTCAGTTTAAATATTATGGTTCTCGGCTTAATCACGTAACTGTTCGACGAGGAACTCGACTAGTCTCAAGCCATTCTAAAGGCTCCATATTCATGAAATCATGAGCAGCATTCCGCGACACACGACACGGCGAGCGGGCGCGAAAAGTTATAATACAATCTAAAATTATGAGTTCAGGATTCAACGATATCAAAAAAGACATAGTTTGGGATTTTACGTTGCTTCTTTTTTCTAAAGTCATGGAGTTTGATTGACATGCTGCTAGCGTAGGAGCTTTATCACTATAACCCGGACCTCACAGATAAAGTCCGGGTCCATTGCAATCTCACATGCTTTCATTGCGTCCCTCGTAAAACTTGGGTGGGTTAAAATCCTATGTTACGATCGCAATGCTTGTTATCTGAGGAGTTAGAACTATGCTATACGGACTGTAGGTACCACTAAAGGGACATTTAAATCCTTGAAATCGAAATAAATTCATTTCGTAACAAATATAACCTAAGCACTGAATACAATCTGACGACATTTGTTACAGTCGTACAGTCGTAGAATATATCTTAACAAAGACTAATTCTAAAACCCAATTTTGAACCAGAAGTAGGTTACGCGGACTAAGTCGAGAGTAAAAGCTATTAACTTGTCGAGCACCGTCACTAAAGACACAATTAAAGAACAATAGGTTGCGGTCACCGGTGACCGCTTGGTGTTTGACATTTTAAAAACATATTTTTAACTGACTTCCAAAAAGAAGGAGGTACTCAGTTTGACCTGTATTTAATTAGTATGTAATTGGCTGAACCGATTTTGATGCGGTTTTCAAAAAGGTGTTTGTTAGGTACACTTAGGGAAAGGTATTAGTATATTAATTGACCGACTTCAAAAGTAGAGGGGCTTGAAGTTGGTATTTTTAAACGTAGTTTATACAAGGTGTAGTTTTGAAACTGTGGCATTTCTCGGGAGTATGTCATGGAAGTCATAAAGTCACAAAGTTTAGGGCCAATAGTTAAAAATACGGCTTTAATAAATCGTTTAAGTTCGACAGTATTTCAGATCAAGCGTCAGCAATGTTTCTTATTGGAGTTTTATGGAATTAGGAATAATATCAATTACGTGTTTGAGTTTGTGTGTGTTAAGTCGAGTTATAAAGCTAGTTATAAGACGGCGGCGTGTAGTTCGCATTTACGGATTTCCGTAATTTACATAAAAATTAAAAATATTTACCTACAATTTTTTTTATTGATTCGGGCTCAGAATCGATAGCCGAGTTACCTCCTAGAAAATGAAGCGGCTTTAAAACAACACCATGTCTAGCCATTACTGAAATTTATTTATTTATACAGTTAGGTAATGTATATTTATGTGAAAATATCCCATACATAATAATATGTAGGTAAATCTATACATGTCCTATAATATAACAAAATGAATCGCTGAATGTTACCAATAACATTCTGCTATTCATTCGCGCACATCTCGAAAACAGCTGAACCGATGTCGCTAATTGTTTTTGTTGTGTTTGTTATTGTTAGGAGAAGGATTGTATGTAAAAAAAAATCTAAGGCGAAACTCAATTCGCGGGGCCTGCTAGTACGTACGGTCATAGGTCTTGTTGGAGCTGATGCTCTTGTCTTGATTACTGATAATCTTGATAAATAAAACTTGTTGAAATATAGAAATTTATTAAAACAATACTTGATATTAAAATGACTTGTGTGCACACTTGTACGGTCAATCGCGAACTGGTCTAATAAGTAAAGCGTTGAATGCGCAAAGAGTAAAATTGCAATTATACAAATTCATGTACTTTGTACATATTTCCCGGGCGGGAGATGATGAGGCTGTGGCGCACAAATCAAATTAATAAAATATGTTCACATGTCAAATGATTAAAACTAATAAACATCATGATAAAAAACGAAAAAAAAATAAAAAATACAAAATCTTTATAAAAACATGTTTCACTAAAATCAATCCATCTCTATCCTCTCAGTCTGAGGTCTTGTCCCTGGCATTGTTGCACGCCGTGTGCTCGGCAGCGGTGGTGTAGTCGATGTTTCT